GAGTACCGTGGCATCACAGCTCACTGCAACCTCCAATTCCTGGGCTCAAGCAATTCTCCTGCCTCCACCTCCCAAGTAGCTGGGACTACAGGCGCTGCCACAATGCCCGGCTATTTTTTGGTCGTAGCTGTCATTGTTGTTTGGCAGACCCGGGCTGGATTTGAACCCGCCAGCTGAGGTGTATGTGGCTGGCGCCTTAGCCGCTTGAGCCATAGGCGCCAAGCTGGTTATACTTTTCTTAAGAAACATCTTCAGTGTATAAAAATGGAAATTTTAACAGCTTAGCCTCTAGAGAGTTACTGAACATTGTTACCTTGAAGATGTTACTAGAACTCCAAGTTCAAATGACTGGTTACTTGTGTTGGATGAGGGAAACAGCTGCAATAAAGCCTGGTGAATGTTTCCATCTTGGAAAAAAAAAAAAATAGAGAATTCTCTGTATAGAGAATACACAGAAGATGCAGAGAACAAAACAGTTCCCAAGGATCTAATGTAAAATCTCTACAAGCATAAATTCAAAGACATCCTTCTCCACTCTAAAATAGCAGACTATGTGAGACATACCCGGGTTCTGACAGCCCTATCAGAACTGGCTCCTTGTTAGCCACAATGTAATCAAAGCAAGACTCAAAGGTTCCTCCAAGGATGGGGCACAGTGGCTTATACCAGTAATCCTAGCACTCTGGGAGGCCAAGGCAGGAAGATCACTTGAGCTCAGGAGTTAGAGACCAGCCTAACCAAGAGTGAGCATATTTCTCTACCAAAAATAGAAAAATTAACCAGGTACTGTGTTTATTAACCACTGGTAGTCCCAACTACTCAGGAGACTGAGGGAAGAGGACTGCTTGAACCCAGGAATTTGAGGTTGCTGTGAGCTAGGCTGACGTCACAGCATTCTGGCCTAGGGCAACAGACTCAGAGTCTGTCTCAAAAAAATAAAGATTCTTCCAAGGATGACACCAACTATTAATGCCAGGGCAGTGCAGTATGACAGTCACAATACACTATGTCTGATGCTCCCTTGAAAGGGACAGCACTAAGGTTAACACAGCTTCCCTTAATAACACCAAGAAGTTTAAAAGGGACAAAGCAAAGAGGATATTCATTTGAAGAACTTAGCCTGCCACCAAAGAATTCCAGCTAAACCTTATTATCACTTATTCTCACAGAATAGCCTATTAAAATGAATCTCATTCTAAAGGACTGATATCCTTTGATTTCACTTGTAATCATGAAGTCTGTGGAGTGGTCATTTACAATATGAAATATACTTCAATTCCAAAATTTTTTTCTGACCTGCATTTTGGGGTCCTGCATAGATATCTTCAAGCCTTGACTCCAATGGCCCAGTGATTCCTAAACAAAAAAGGGCAATTTAAATTGCAAAAGCCAATAATTAAATTTGGCAAGAGTTAATCATGTGACAGCAAAGTCCAACCAAACTTTGAATAAGGTTAGTTTTTGAGAATTAAACTAAATCCCCTTTACTTCAATCCATTGCCTTTTAAGATCCTAAGCCCTCTGCATTGCCTTCCTATTCAGAGCTGGCCGTCCAGATGAAAACCAGAAATGACAGAGCATGGATTGAATCATCTTTGCCCTTTCACACACCAACTACAGCCTGACTGAATTTCCACCTTGACACCAGCATGTGAATTACATGATCCACGAAAACTTTTTATAGATATACAAACAACTGGCCCATTTTAGTTGTTCAATATTAAGGACACTGCCATTATTGTCCTACTTTCAAGTTTCTCATCTCAGGAATTCAAGAGAAAAGCCCATAAAGGGATATTCATCCAAGTGATTATCATGCCTCAAACAAGTGACTCTTTCATCATGTTTAATAACCTCTCTTACATGTCTGGAATTTAGTGTACAAAATAATTAACTAGTCATCATACCTCATCTAATCTCCATGTCATCTACCACTCACACTACCCTCACCTTTTTCATAGGTGCATCTTTTCCCTTCTTTAGGGGCACAGAGCATTGGCTGAGACTGCTCCCAAGTCCCAGCCCTGTCCCAGACTCAGCTCCCTGGGCAGCATCCTCTTCTATAGAATCAGGGTTGCCTGACCATTTTCTCTTCCTGTGTGTTTCCAGGCCAAAGCTCTCTGCTTCTTCTTCAAACTCTACAATATATGGATAAAGTTCATTCACCATATGGAGAACCTGGCCAGGCTGCAGCGTCACCTCTTGGTCCTTCCCAATTATAACTGAGTCAATGCTGGTAGGATTGACCCCTACCTATAAAATAAATAATCAAAGATTAATTATAATAATAGGGATAACACCATTAGTAATATAGCCACCACCATGTTAACCAAGCACCTTGTTTAATGTTCACCTATATTACTATCACTTCCACAAACGACAGAGAAGCCTTCATTGGCTGGCAGATACTCTAAAGCAAATAGCATAAGAAAATCAAGTATAAGGCTGAGCTGTGGCTCAAAGGAGTAGGGTGCTGGCCCCATATGCTGGAGGTGGCGGGTATAAACCCAGCCCTGGCCAAAAACTGCAAAAAAAAAAAAAAAAAAAGACATCAAGCCACAGGCGCCTGTGGCTCAGTGAGTAGGGCGCCGGCCCCTTATACTGAGGATGGTGGATTCGAACCCAGCCCCAGCCAAACTGCAACAAAAAAATAGCTGGTTGTGGCAGGCACCTGTAGTCCCAGCTACTCAGAAGATTGAGGCAAGAGAATCGCCTAAGCCCAAGAGCTGGATGTTGCTTGAGCTGTGACACCACTGCACTCTGCTGAGGGCGACAAGATGAGACACTATCTCTAAAAAAAAAAAAAAAAGGAAAATCAAGTATGAATTGGAAATACAAGTTACAAACACACATACCTGCTTTACATTGACATATCCCTTGTTACACTCTGCTTTCAACTGCACTGAAAGAGATTAGAAAAAGTTAAACACAAATGCAACAAAGTACCAGGCACTTGCTCCTGTTTTCCCTACAGGACAAAAGGGCCTCACTGCAGGAGACAGCTGAACAGATGTCTCCTCACACACCCATGAGTAACTATTATGCAGCTGACTGGAGCTCCCAATCCTTCCACAAAATAGCCAACCACATACATACTCCCTAAGCAATTTATATATCCCTGTGAGGCAGCTTCAATGAATCCCCACAAGTTTCCTTATCCCAGAGTCCCAGGCCTGCTCAGGATCATAGACTCTACAGCCAGGAAAGAAGACCCATTTCTCTCACTTGGGAGAGGATTAAATCAGTCTTCAACTAGTTTTAAAAAAAAATTATCAGATACCTTCAACAGAGATAAAGGTAAAAGATACATTCATAGAAAATAGAAATTCAGCTAGCCTTAGATAGGAGGATTGGAAAGAATGTTCTAGACAGAGGACTGCAAGGACAGAATGGTCTAAACATGTGTAAGAAGCCGTTAACACAGCTTGGCACCTGTGGCTCAAGCGGCTAAGGCGCCAGCCACATACACCTAAGGTGGTGGGTTCGAATCCCCAGCCTGGGCCCGCCAAACAACAATGATGGCTGCAACCAAAAAAATGGCCGGACATTGTGGTGGGCGCCTATAGTCCCAGCTACTTGGGAGGCAGAGGCAGGAGACTCGCTTGAGCCCAGGAGTTGGAGGTTGCTGTGAGCTGTGATGCCATGGGGGGACAGCTTGAGGCTGTCTCAAAAAAAAAAAAAAGCCGTTAACATTAAACACATCATTCTGATAAATGAACAAAGTATCTGCAGTTGGGACTGGGAGCAAAGAAGAACTATAGGCTCACCAGGAAGAACAGGCTGATACACACACATATCCCTACAGTTGCTATTGTGACAAAGGAGACAGAGAGAGAAGCAGTGGCTACTTCTGTATCTTGGGCCAACCAGCTCAAGCATGGCTTTTTTTCCCCTCTACTTTGTTTAATTCCATAGGAAAGAACATAATCAGTGCTGCAGCTTCCAACTTTCCAAGTCTAAAGTCTACACTTGGGAAACCCATGGAGATCACACTGCAGGCAGCAGCGAGCATGTCCGAAGTTTATAGGAAGTAACAAGGTATACAGTTAGGCTTCTTCCTAGAGGCAGGGATTTTCGTTTTATTAAACCCTAAGAAATACAGGAGCTGGATGCCATAGTCTTTTTTTTTTTTTTTTTTTTTTGAGAGAGAGGCTCAAGCTGTCCCCCTCAGTAGAGTGCTGTGGCATCACAGCTCATAGCAACCTCCAACTCCTGGGCTCAAGCGATTCTCCTGCCTCAGCCTCCAAAGTAGCTGGGACCACAGGCGCCTGCCACAACGCCTGGCTATTTTTTTTGGTTGCAGCCATCATTGCTGTTTGGCGGGCCCGGGCTGGATTCGAACCCGCCACCTTAGGTGTATGTGGCTGGCACTTTAGCCACTTGAGCCACAGGCACCGAGCCGATGCCATAGTCTTATAAAAGACACTACCCTCTGTATGGGGCAATATATAAAGGATGGCACCCCGCCATCACTTCTCAGACATGTTTTCACCTATAAACTCCACTTTATCTGTCTTGCTGCCCAGTAAACAGTCTCCCTGGACAAAGCAGGATGTAGGACTCAATCCCACCATCCCATGATAACAAGGTGGAACCTGCCTGCTCCCAACTCTCACTCACCCTGCCTTGAATGTTACCACACTGGGAGGATTAAATCAGGGATAAATAGGGCTCTGGAATTGGCTAAAGGGCTCAGTTCCTGAGTTCTATTTTTGGCAGTTTTATTTTGTAATATTTTGATAGCTTTCCCATTAAAAGCACTCAGGAAATGTCATCCTTGGTTATCCCTATCTTACAGAAACAAACATGATAATCTCCACATCCTTAGGCCCACTAACCTTGCTGACGGGAACATTTCTTATCAGTGATCTTGGTCTCTGGGCCACGCCCAATCACAACTGCTTCCAAATGGGGAAGTTTGATCCGCTGGTGCCGGCTGTCCTGTCTCACCAACCAGCATACCCGCATCATTGCTCTGAGAGACAAAATAAAGAGAATCACTGGAACAATGGATCCACTGCACAAGACCCCCAGGGCCACATCCCAGCACCACCACAATGTGATTTATCAGCTGTTCATCTTGAAGCAAGTGACTTCACCTCCCTGGTCTCAATTTCCTCACCTGTAAACCACGATAATGAAACATGCTAAGCAATCAAATATTTGTTACACATCTTTCATATACTCTATGCGCTGAACATCAGGCTATCTGCTAAGGATCAAAATGTAAATAAAACAGGGACATTGGGCTGGGCACAGTGGCTCAGGCCTGTAATCCTAGCACTCTGGGAGGCTGAGGCTGACAGATTGCCTGAGCTCACAGGTTTGAGACCAGCCTGAGCCTGAGGGAGATCCCATTCCCAACCCTCTAAAAATAGCCGGGCGTTGTAGCAAGTGCCTGTAGTTCCAGCTACTGCGGAGGCTGAGGCAAGAGGATCACTTAAGACCAAGAGTCTGAGGTTGCTGTGGGCTATGATGCCATAGCACTCTACCAAGGGGCGACAAAGTAAGACTCTGTCTCAAAAAAATAAATAAAGGGGTTCAGAGTACAGTGGGGCCGATTCATATTGAGGGGCTCAGAGTACAGTGGGACAGATTCATATTGAAATGCAGTTAGTTTATGTTGCCTACAGAAGATCCAAGGGTCAAGTTGGGATACATATAGGTATGAAGCTCAGGAGAGAGGAATGGACTAAATGTATATATTTGAGAACAAGTAACACGTTATAGAAGCTGAGGCAAAGAGTGAAGATGAGATCACCCAAGGAAGTGGAAAAAGAAATTATGGGCAGCGACAGGACCAGATTTTTAGGATGCCTTTTTTGACTCCAGAATGCTCAATCCTCTAACTCCTAGGTTCTTCTAGAAATGTTGTCTACGGTCAAGGCAGCACTTCTGCCCTCTGCACAAAGCAAAAAGAAACCCAATTTTTAAAAATCAGAGTTTCATTACCATCTGCAAAAATAAGACAATGCAGAGTACAATGAGCAAATGAGAGCTCAGGAGGTACAAAATTCATAGGAAATGATGAGTGTGAGTACATACATATATGCTTAGTAGGTAAACTCCTATAGGTGAAAGCTTCCAGAAACCACCCTGTTGGAGAAGGCCTGGAGCCAAGGGGAATGGTAAAGAAATGGAATGTAGGCTTGGCAACTGGGTACGCAAGCAGCTCTCGGCACCCGGCCCAGCTTCTTTCAAAATGTCTACTGTTCATGAGATTCTGTGCAAGCTCAGCTTGGAGGGTGACCACTCCACACCCACAAGTGCATATGGGTCAGTCAAAGCCTACACCAACTTTGATGCTGAGTGGGATGCTTTGAACATCGAGACAGCCATCAAGACCAAAGTGTGGATGAGGTCACCATTGTCAACATTTTGACCAACCGCAGCAATACACAGAGACAGGAATCAGCACTGAAGTCAGCCTTATCTCGCCACCTGGAGACGGTGATTTTGGGCCTCCTGAAGACACCTGCTCAGTATGATGCTTCAGAGCTAAAAGCTTCCATGAAGGGGCTGGGAACTGACGAGGACTCCCTCATTGAGATCATCTGCTCCAGGATCAACCAGGAGCTGCAGGAAATTAGCAGTGTCTACAAGGAAATGTACAAGACTGACCTGGAGAAGGACATTTTTTCTGATACATCTGGAGATTTCTGCAAGCTGAGGGCTACCCTCACAAAGGGTAGAAGAGCAGAGGATGGCTCAGTCATTGATTATGAACTGATTGACCAAGACGCCTGGGATCTCTATGATGCTGGAGTGAAGAGGAAAGAAACAGATGTTCCCAAGTGGATCAGCATAAGACAGAGTTGAGTGTGTGCCACCTCCAGAAAGTATTTGATAGGTATAAGAGCTATAGCCCTTACGACATGTTGGAGAGCATCAAGAGGAAGTCAAAGGAGACTTGGAGACTGCGTTCCTGAACCTGGTCCAGTGCATTCAGAACAAGCCCCTGTACTTTGCTGATCGGTTGTATGACTCCATGAAGGGCAAAGGTACTCGCGATAAGGTCCTGATTAGAATCATGGTCGCCCGCAGTGAAGCGGACATGTTGAAAATCAGGTCTGAGTTCAAGAGAAAGTACGGCAAGTCCCTGTACTATTACATCCAGCAAGACGCTAAGGGTGACTCCCAGAAAGCGCTGCTGTACCTGTGCGGGGGAGACGACTGAAGCCTGGCCCGAACGGTTTCCAGCGTCCAGGAACGCGCTCCCTGTGCTTCCAGCTAACAGGCCTAGAAAACCAGCTTGCGCCTAACAGCCCCCGTGGCCATTCCTGTGAGGATAAAGTTAGCATTGCCCCCAGCCTTGTTTTAGCTCCCTGAGCATCGCCTGGCTTTCTTGTGTAGTCTCTCCTTTAACATTCATGAGTTCCCTCTCATGAACATTCCGGCTCAGCACCTGTGGCTTAAGCGGCTAAGGCGCCAGCCACATACACCTGAACTGGCAGGCTCAAATCCAGCCCAGGCCACCAAACAACAATGACGGCTGCAACCAAAAAAATAGCCGGGCGTTGTGGTGGGCGCCTGTAGTCCCAGCTACTTGAGAGGTGGAGACAGGAGAGCCCAGGAGTTGGAGGTTGCTGTGAGCTGTGATGCCATAGCACTCTACCCAGGGCGACAGCTTGAGGCTCTGTCTAAAAAAAACAGAAATGAACATTCCAAGGAGTGGGAAGTGAAGTCTGAGATGTGAAACACTCTACCTCTTGTGTCCTGTGTCCTAAACAGATGAATAAACTGAATTTTTACTTTAAAAAAAAGAAAGAAAGAAATGGAATGGGAAAGGCATTCCATTTTTAAAAGCACAAGTGATAATTTCAGCAACAGCAAGCCATGTTTCCAATGGCAGAAACCAGACTCAGATGGCTGAACCAGAGAAGCTGCCCCACAGTCACAAGAAAAATAGCACAGATGTTGAAAACTTGGCAACTAGGTTGAAGTTTTGTTTTTTATTTTGGTTTGGTTTTTTTGAGACAGAGTCTTACTGTGTTGCCCTTAGTAAAGTACCATGGCGTCATAGCTCACAGCAACCACAAACTCTTGGGCTCAAGTGATTTTCTTGCCTCAGTCTCCTCAGTAGCTGAGACTACAGGCGCCCACTACAACGCCTGGCTATTTCTAAGAGATGGGGTCTCAGTCTTGCTCAGGCTAGCAATCCACCAGCCTCGGCCTCCCAGAGTGCTAGGATTACAGGCATGAGCCACCGGGCATGGCCTTTAAGCTGAAGTTTAGGTTCAACATAATCAGAAGGAAACTTCTCAGTAAGATGAAACAAGAGAATTCAAAAGAGTACATTGCCAAAGGCTGTGTGTAGGCAGTCACCAGAGGAGAAATCTAGAGTCAGCAATTAGTCAGGAGGCTGTTAACATAATATGGGCCAGAGAGGTCCGTGCTGCAGTTCTGTTTGTCTCTGTGAGGCAGTGATGCAAAAGTGTGGAAAGGCAGATGTAAATTTAAAATCCTAAACCTGGAGTCTCAAATGATGGTGCTACAGGCAGGTCCCGCTTCATGCTATGTGTTCCAAGGGACATCTATTGGCACTTGCTGGAAACTAATGAATAAGCAGATAACAAATGAAAGTAAAGTATGTGTTCGTTAGGCCCTGGGAAATAAGTCACATGGTAACTGACTACGTGAAAGGGACAACCTTGCAAAAATAGCAAGAACAGGAAAATATCTAATCCTGCAATTTTCTAGTAACAGTTAAAGATCAATCCTATAAATTCTCCTGCTAACAGGCACCTACCCCTCAAGAGTTCTGTTTTGCACTTCAGAAATGGGCAGGACAGACAGGAGAGACAACTCTTTTTTTTTTGAGACAAAGTCTCACTATGTCGCCCTGGGTAGAGTGCCGTGGCATCACAGCTCACAGCAACCTCAAGTTCTTGGGCTTAAGCGATTCTCTTGCCTCAGCCTCCCAAGTAGCTGGGACTATAGGCACCCACCACAATATCCCAGCTATTTTTTGGTTGGAATCGTCATTGTTGTTGGCAGGCCTGGGCTGGATTCAAACCCTCCAGCTCCAGTGTACATGGCTGGTGCCCTAGCCACTGACCTACAGGTGCTGAGCCACACAGAGAGGCAAATCTTTCTCTTTCAAAATTGCTTTTTTGACAATCTGCTTTACAGAGTTCTTGAGTGAACAGCCAGAGAAGGAACTTCAGGCCCCAGCCATATCTTAAGGACACTTACATCTTCTGTAACAATTCCAGATAATCTCATCTCCACAGAAAAGCTGACAAATCAGCTCTTGGATTTTGACATCCAGCCCAGCTTGTTATCTACCCACTGCCAAGAAGAAAGTGGATAAAGCAGTTTCTTGACTGTACCCCGCCAATCTACACCCCCTTTAAAATTAGCTAGCCACTTGGCCTCAAGTGCTGGCATTCTTCCTTTCTCCTTTTGGATCCCATGACAGCTCCCTGTTTTCTTTTTTGCTTTTTTCCCTCACTCTCTTTCACTCTCCTACTCCCTCTCTCCTCTAAGATAAAAAAACTTTTTACTTTTATATATCCTATTCTCTTTGTGAGAAATTTTTCTCAACCTGCCAACACCTACTAAGCTTTCCACCCTAACACTACTTATCCTGACATTAAGAGAAACCAGAAGAGAGCACAGTCTGAGAGCAGGGACGAGGAGGAATCCAATGGGGAGCAAAAAACATGGCTGGCTGATGCAGGATAATAGGAACTACCCCTCCTGGGGCGCACTCCTGAGGATCTAGGACTATAGGCGCTCACCACATGCCTGGCTTTTTTGAGACATAGTCTCACTGTGTCGCCCTCAATAGAGTGCCATAGCATCACAGCTCACAACCTCAAACTCTTGGGATTAAGGGATTCTCTTGTCTCAGCCTCCCAAGTACCCAGGATTACAGGCACCCACCACAACACATGGCTATTTTTTTATCGCAGTTGTCATTATTGTTCAGCAGACTGGAGCTTGGTTCAAACCTGCCTGCCTGGGTGTATGTGGCCAACGCCCTAACCACTGAAGTATGGGCGCCAAGCCTGGCTGTTTTAGAGACGGGGTCTCACTCTTGCTCAGGCTGGTCTCAAACTCCTGAACTCAAGCAATCCACCCACCTCAGCCTTCCAGATTGCTAGCATTACAGGTTAGTTCAAGCTAGGCATGAGCACCAGAGCATTTTAGAATATGGTGAGCACAGAAGGATGGGTATTCCTGAATGTTCAATCCAGTCCCTCTAGTGAAACTCCATAAACTGAAAACTCTGTCGCATGCTCATTTTTGCTTAGCAATATAAACCTAGCACCTAATACAATACTTGGCACACTGCAAGCATGCAACAAACATTTACAAGTGAATGACCAGATGACAACCCTATCCAGGTTCTCTTTCCTTCCTCCTCTCTTCCTCTCCTCAGGTTCTTCATAAGATGGAGTGCTCGGCTTCTCTCTTTGGGCAATCCCATATATCCTCACCTCTAGATGGTGAATCCCAATTCTCTATTTTTAGCTTTATATCTTTCATTGAAGAGTCATGGGAATTGGTCAGAAAGAAATTGTTATTTCTTAAAGAACCCAAGTGATCTAATAGGCCACATAGGTCAGAAATCTGATAACCTGGAACAATATGCCCAATACAATTTTTTGCTGTTGACTCAAATAAATGACTGAGGCAAAAATCTCAATTAATGGAGGTTTATTAAGCCAACATTTTGAGAATGTGCCTGGAACATTGTCCAGCTGTGGCTGTTTTTTCTGAAGAAGACATTAGAACCTTAGCATTTTAAAGGCATACAAAGTGCTAGCCAGGCACAGTGGCTCATTCTTGTAATACTAGTACTCTGGGAGGCTAAAGACAGCTAAGATTGCTTGAGCTCAGCAATTGGAGAGCAGCCTGAGGCAGAGCAATATCCTGTCTCTACTAAACATAAAAAAAAAAAAAAAAACTAGCCCTGGGTTGCTGTGAGCTATGATGATGCCATGGCACTCTAGTCAGGGAAACAGAGAGCGACTCTATCTCAAAAATTAAAAGTAGGCTCAGCGCCTGTGGCTCAAGCGGCTAAGGAGCCAGCCACATACACCTAAGGTGGTGGGTTCGAATCCCCAGCCCGGGCCCGCCAAACAACAATGATGGCTGCAACCAAAAAATGGCCAGGCGTTGTGGCGGGTGCCTGTAGTCCCAGCTACTTGGGAGGCTGAGGCGGGAGACTCGCTTGAGCCCAGGAGTTGGAGGTTGCTGTGAGTGTGATGCCATGGCACTCTACCCAGGGGGACAGCTTGAGGCTCCGTCTCAAAAAAAAAAAAAATTAAAAGTAAACATAAAAAATAAAGGAATACAAGGAGAATAAAAAAGGGAGGGGAGAGGAGCTTATGAGGTAGCAGCTACATCCTTGTGAGGCCCAAGAAATCTATATTTTACATAAAATAAGGGAGTGAAGGAAGCATCTACTATGTAGATGTCCCTGGGTAGGTGAAAGAATGCCTGATTATGTTTTGTTTCCAGTTTTGTTACTTGTAAGATAAACTTCTAATTAATTATTAGCATGGAATGAATAGGCTTTAGTCTTAGGTGCTAGATATAGATACAATGTGCATGTCATTATATATGGGAGGTTTACAAGAAATTTCTTTTTTTGTTTGAGACAGAGTCTCACTTTGTCACCCTTGGTAGAGTGCCATGACATCACAGCTCACAACAACCTCCAACTCTTGGGATGTAGAGATTCTCTTGCCTCAGCCTACTAAGTAGCTGGGCGATAGGCACCCACCAAAATACCTGGCTGTTTTTTTAGAGACAGGATCTTGCTCTTGCTCAGGCTGGTCTCAAATCTGTGAGCTCAAGCAATCCACCCACCTTGGCCTCCCAGAATGCTAGGATTATAGGCCTGAGCCACCTGGCCTGGCCCAAGAAATTTCTTAATGAATGATCTATGTGGCTAGCTCTTCACAGGTGCCTAAGGCTGTGATTTTCTTTTTACACTCTTTGCTCTTCTTCAAAATCTTCCAGGGAAAGCATTGCAGAAGACCTGAGTTTATGGTTGTATTATTATTCTTTTTTTTTTTTTTGAGACAGAGCCTCAAGCTATCCCCTGGATAGAGTGCTGTGGCATCACAGCTCACAGCAACCTCCAACTCCTGGGCTCAAGCGAGTCTCCTGCCTCTGCCTTCCAAGTAGCTGGGACCACAGGCGCCTGCCACAATGCCTGGCTATTTTTTTTTTGGTTGCAGCCATCATTGTTATTTGGCAGGCTCCGGGCTGGATTCGAACTCACCACCTTAGGTGTATGTGGCTGGCGCCTTAGCCACTTGAGCCACAGGCACCGAGTCATATTATTATTCTTTAATGAAATCTCATGCCACTATAAAAGTTCATTTTTAGGAAATCATGTC